AACCTAGACAGCATATTAAAAAGCAGAGACATTACTTTGCTGACAAAGGTCCCTCTAGTCAAAGCTATGGTTTTTCAAGTAGTCTTGTATGGATGTGAGAGTTGGACCATAAAGAAGGCTGAGTGCCGAAGAATTGATGCTTTTGAACTGTGGTGTTGGAAAAGACTCTTTAGAGTCCCTTGGACTGCAAGGAGATCCAACCAGTCCATCCTAAAGGAGATCAGTCCTGGGCGTTCATTGGGAGGACTGATGCTGAAGCTGAAACTCCAATACTTTGGCCACTTGATGCAAAGAGCTGACTCACTGGAAAAGACCCTGATGGTGGGGAAGATTGAGGGCAGGAGGAGAAGGGGACGACAGAGGATGAGATGGCTGGATGGCATCACCGACTCGATGGACATGAGTTTGAATAAGCTCCAGGAGTTGGTGATAGACAGGGAGGCCTGGCGTGCTGCAGTTCATGGAGTCACAAAGAGTCGGACACAACCGAGCGACTGAAATGAACTGAACTGAACTGAACTGATCCTTCTTATCAAGTGACGTATGTGTCTAGATGGATTGTTGTTTAGAAGACCCTGTAAGAGGCAGACAAGATAATTCGAATATTCCTGTCCTCTGATCTAGCAGTTCCCACATCTAGAAATTAATCAACCAGGAATGAAAACATGCTCAATTTAGCACTGTTTACAATGGCAGAAAAAGCAGAAACTGTACAACCATCAACAGTAAAGTGGTCAAATACATGGACTCCTCTGAGGCCATGAAAGATACAGGCGTATGTTTCACGTGTTGCTATAGGAATATGTCCCTGACTTGATGGATGAAAATACAGTAGTAGCAGAACAGCACATGGTAGAGATGTGTGTGGTGGGAGAATAAGAGTGTGGAGGAGGGGAATAGGGGAGAGGGAGATTGAAGGATGTTTTCACCAAATTAAAAGGTTTTAGGAAGTGCAATCACACAGCAGTTTTAAATCACCTAAAAGTCATTAAATGAGTTAAGTCATTTCTCAACTCCTAAATGCAAAGCCCCCTTTTCTGTCTACTTAATAAAAAAAGATACATAGGTAGCCGCAAAGAAGGAGCTTCCTGCACTGCTCAGCACTAGTTTAAATTCACTGGTGTAAATATTTCTCAGGCGCCTATACAGCAAGCAGTCTTCTAGGTGCTGTAAGTACAGGGCACCTCGCCTTTGCTCTCCTCCCGGCCTGGCCTCGGTGCAGGTAAAGTAGTTCTGCCAGGAAGCAGGCAGGAGAGAGAGGGTGGGACTGGCCAGTCACACACACTAAACAGGAAAATGTTTGGTAAGAGAGTAAGTTTAAACTGCTGCTTTCTGTATTTAATTTAATCGTAGTCACCCTCCCCATGAATAAGTCTCACCATTAACTACTAAAAGTAAACCCAAATATCTTCTAAGGCACCTGCCCTGCGGTCCCACGGCTGTTCTGACTGGGAGCTCCCTTGGCCTTTTGGTAAACCCTGATCCACATCCACATGCAAGCACATAGGCAGCACTCTCCAGTGTCTTAAGAGGCTAACTGGAAACAAAGCTGTAAGAAAGAGAAGGGACTGCCCAAGGGTTCTCACTCAACGGGTATCCAGGGATGTGATATGATGTAAGGGCTTGCGGGTGTGGCATCACCTTGCTGTCTCTAAAGCAACAGGGCACACGTGTGGCAGAATAAGACAGGAGCCCAGGAGCCACTTCTCCATGCATTCCTCCCATCATCCCTGCCTCCTTCCCTTCCTCACACAGTGACCTGCACCAATGAGATGGTCCTACCTGCCACCCTGTAGAGTGTATCTCTGTAGAGTCTATCTCAATGCTGAAATCTAGCAGCCTCAAGCACTAACTGTACTTGGAGATTTGGATAAAAAGTAACATGGACTCCAGAGCCAAGTGGCCAAGACTGAATCCCACTTTCCAGCTGCATGAACTTAGACAAAGGAACTGAACCTTTTTGTGCCTCTCTTACCCCTACAGTGGAAATGTGGGTGCTGGTTTAGGTTTAGGTTGCCAAGTTGTCTTATGACCCCATAGGCTCAGCCCACCAGGCTCCCCTGTCCATAGGACTTTTCCATGGCAAGAACGGCAAGAATCCATGGCAAGAATATTGGAGCGGGTTGCCATTTCCTTCTTCAGGGGATCTTCCCGACCCAGGCATTGAATCTGTGTCTCTTGCATGGCAGGCAGTCTCCAACATGACAGGCAGATTCTTTACCACTGAACCACCAGGGAAGCCCAGAAATAATAATACTTACTTTATAAGGCTTTATGAGGAGTACGTACTCATACTCATACACATGGAGGGTATGTGAATATTTATAAAGCATCCAACAGCCTAGCACATATGAAACACTTTATAAATATTAGCTATTGTTGTCAAGTCCCAACTTTTAGATGGTGAAATATTTACACCCTGAATGCCACATATTAGAAGAAATTAAAGAGAGCTGGATTTCAAAACTAACATATTCCACCTCCCTATCTTTTAGGTGAGTCAACCAAGAGGGGACAGCAAGGGCCTTGCTGAAGGCCTGACGATCCACGCTGCCCCCAGTTCTGAACCACGGATCCGTTTCCTCCCTATATCTCCAGCGTAAGGACTCCTGGGCTGTAAAACAGAATGGAAAAGCTTCCCTTCTATAAAACAGTGGGTTTTTTTTTCCCCTTTAAAAAAGCATATAAAGCAATGTCTTGTGTATTTTAAAAGACTGTTTTCTGAAACCCAGGCTTTGCTGGTAGCTATCAGGCTTTGATTTGAAGTGTTTGATCTATCTCTACAAGAGGTTTCTGAGAAGAGTCTCACAGTGCCCCAGAGGAAAACATACATATCACTGCTTGATTTTGTAGAGGTTGTCATGTAAGAACATATTTTTGTTTCTAACAAAGAGAAATGAAGTTTAGACAACATCTGGGAAATGATATACTTTTTGGGAGAAGGCGATTTGGTCAGAAGCATTATATGACATTTGGCTTCTGTTAAAGTTTCCCTGAATGTAGATTCTCTATGCTAAGAAATCTAGTTTCTGTGCCATACAGGAATATTGTGCAATCTATACTTAATACATGTTTTAAAATGCCACATGCAAAATAAACTAGTCATCCCCCACCTTACGCATGCCCACCCTGCTCTAAGGCGCCCTGTGTCTGCAGGGGCACCCCGTCAGCCAAGTGTGTGATCGCCAGCATGGGTGTCACCAAGGAGTCCCCGCTGGCTCTCTCCTGTTCATCAGTAGACACGCCTGCCTGGCCCCCGCCCTCTAGTGGAGGGGGAACATGCCACCCACACCATCATTTCCTCTTGGTGTCATCCTTGCCATCCTCTGGCCAGGGGCCAGAAGAACCCTTCTGAAGTCCAAAACAGAGTCTAGTAGCTGCTTACAACCCACAGGAGCTCCCTGCTTCCGCATCAGACAGCGCGCTGTGCTGTCCTCAGTCCCTACAGCTGCCCCTGTCATCGCCGAGGGGCGGCCCCTTGCAGGACATGTTTCCACACAGGCCTGTTAGGGGCCGGTCAGCAGTGCTCGCGGCCCTGCTGGGCCTCTCGGCCACTTACCGGGCAAAGACAGTGCCGCTGCCTCCTGGGAAGGTGTAGGGGTGCTGCTTCCTGAACACGTGTCCCACGCGGCTGCAGGGAATGATCTCCAGGCTGCCGCCACACTGCCACACGCGGAACGAGATCTCTGAGGTGGGGAAGACACGGGTGACCGAGGGCCTGGGCCGCCCACGGGTGCGGGTACCCACCCCACCTCCAGGGCCTGAGGCCATGCCAACAGGGAGGACCCTTTTCCCAGAGGGTCCTTGAATGTCCCCCGGAGGGACATCTGACACTGGTCTCTAGACTCCAGGGCACAATCAAGGAAGTATGTGTGTGGGGGGATGCAAGTGCATATCAAATCATCCTGCTGTATACCTTAAATATATACAATTCTAAATTGTCAGTGCAACCTCAATAAAGATGGAGAAAAAAAGATTGAATGAAATATCCTAAAGATTGACTGAGGGTGTCTGCACAGCAGTGTTATTATACAGACAATATAAAGTAGTGTAGATAAAGTGAATAATTTATGCCCAACAAACTACCCACACTGGGACATTTACTATCTTAGATTTTACCACTGAGCAGAATTACAGATGCCAGCTCTATCTGTGTCACCAATTCCTTGTTTTCACGAAAGAAGTCTATTCCAAATTTTAAAGGAGCACGCTTGAAATATTTTTCAGACCCAGACTAGAAACCCTAGGACAAGAGTGATTCCCTGGCCCACTGTGAACAGAAGACTCCTGGCAGCAGACCAGGCATCCCTGTAACATCACCATCACTGTGGATGAGACTCGGCCCAGAACTCCTCTCTGACTGGTTCTCCACAGGAGTATTACTATGCCCCCTAAGGATCCCAGTTAGAAAAGGCAACCAACAGTGTACGAATGTCCATGATCAAAAGGCATGAAATGCCCACATCAGCCCTAATGTAGACGTAAGAGGCAACTGTGTACACCACCTTCCTCTAAAACTTAAGTGCGCAGAGCGTCTGCACGCACCTGAGCTTCCTCCATCCGGGACAAAAACAATGTCTCCCCTTAAATCGCAAAACTTATCTCATCCCTGTGGACCAGCGGGTGTCCAGCCAGCCGACCAAGTCTAGGGACCAATGACGCGTGAAGAACAACCAGATCTGGCAGTCACCCCGGCTTTCAGCAGCCAGTAGCCACCAGGCCAGCAGAGGCTGCTTTTCACCCGAGTCAACACAGAGTCTACCCAGGACTCAGGACCTGGGCAAGCAGGAGCGGGTCATGACACCTGTACACACATGCAGCCCAGAGCACCAGGCTTGGGAGCAGCCCGGACACAGGAGCCGGCCAGGCTCCCGTCCTGATCGCCACCCGCTCTGAGCAGGGGCATGACTGAACTCGAGAAATAGGTTGTGCAGGAAAATCAAGGTATGATATGATGGAGGGCTAGACTTTGTTTTTCTGAAAGGCTTCCTCAGCATCACTCTGCACGCCTGACAACACTCGGGGGACTGAGACAGGACGGCACACGCAGTCACCGCTGCAGCGCGGGTGGGTCTGAGCCAGGTGGGTTCCCATGGAACACAAGGCCCCGAGTGGCAGCAGGTGCCCTGGCTGTGGCCAAAGGATGTGACTCCATGTATGAGCAGGCCAGCAGGAATCTCTACTGGGACCAGCGGGCGGAAGCCCCAAACACCTCCCTACGTGGCAGTTTGGGGATTTTAATGACCACTTCCCTCATGATATTAGAAATGTGTCATCATAACCACCAAGCCTACAGAGTGTTGAATGAAACTTGACTAGGAGGCTCTCTGTATCTAAGGAAATAAAATTGCCTATCTGGAAAATTCAAAACTGGGGGCCATGAAGGCTCCCTGGCTCCTGTACGGGAAGCTTGTTAAACCAGTAAGGGAGCCATTCAGAGACCTGGTGGCAGAGTTTTAAGGCCACAAACAACTACAGTTATGTTCAGCTGATCTCACTGGGCTCCAACGAGGGATGATTGATTACCCAGGAAAACATGGTGGCTTTTTAATTAGGCAGTTTGTGTCTGTATCTTGGCTCTACTAACAATAAGCTCAAGACCTCAAGCAAGACCTCAGTCCCTTCCAGAAAGCATGAAATGAGACGATGCACTGGGGTGGTCAGCATCATTCCTAAGGCTGCAGGGATGGGCTGAAAAGGACAAATAACATTCCCAAGGAGTCTAACCCCACATCTCACAGGGGCCAGGGGTAGCGTTCTTTGTCCTTTTTATTTATTAAAAAAATTTTTTTTCCCTTTTTTTGGCCGCAGTGCAAGGCTTGTGGGATCTTAGCTCCCCAACCAGGGACTGAACCTGGTGCCACAGCAATGAAAGTGCTGAGCCTGAACCACTGGACCACCGGGGAATCCCCTCTGTCTTTTTTAAGTGCTTTAATTAGATTTACAGTGTACGTCAGGAAATCTGGGAGCACTAGGAGACTTGGTGGGGCATCCCAAGACGGGGTGTTTGGATCTGACTCGGGCATCCCCACTCCCTGACTCTCCTAGTAGGTGCCCACACCAGCCCTCAGGCTGGACAACCACTGTGGGTGCTCATGCAGCACCCAGAAAATCAAGTCTGAGCAGGGTCAAGATGAGAGAGAGACTCATCGCAAGCTCCTCCTGCTGAAACCCCGTGCCTATTTAATCCTGGTGGGAGGAGACCCTCCAGAGTGGCCATATCAGAGCCCGCGGGAGGCGGTGCCACAGTGCCCGCAGCACCAGGCCGCACGACCCTAGGCCTCCCCGTCCACCACGGGTCACCTGAACCCCGCGAGCCCTTCCAGGGAACCTCGCACACGGCACAGGTACTTTAATACACAAGCCAAACCGACAATAAACGAGGCAATGGGGGAGATCATCTCCCCTCCCGCTGGTCTCCGGTGTAGTCTCTTTTGACGTTAAATCCATACTCTTTCTACACTCTGTGCTTTAAAAGGCTGGCTGCCTCCACCCACCCTAACCTAATGGCACACAGCAAACCCTACTCTACTTTGCTACCGAGTGGTGATCCTGGCTGGTGGGGCTGCCCCAGGGGTGCCGGCAGGACGAGGGTGACTTAGAATCCCCTCAGGAGATTAACAATCCTTCCGAAGCCTTCTGTGCTCAGATTTCAATCAAGTCCTGCCTCCCTATCAGTGTATCATTAAAAAACCAAAGGCACCAGACTCAGGCCCTTCCTCCGTGTGTAGTTACTGAATCTAAAGAAGCTTTCAGAATCTACCTGGGTGATAACCTCTCTCCACAAATGAGACATTATCACTAACATTAATATCACAAAATGAGAGAAAAATAATATGCTTGTCTAACCTAGTCTCTTCTTTTAAACAAACAAAAATATCAAAGTCTCTGTTACAAGTAAAAACTACTACAAGTGATACCAGCATCCTTCTTTCCTTCTATCCAGGGGAGAAAGTAATTTAGCAGCATTCAAAGGCGAGGAGACTCAGCTAAAAAACTTCAAGTGAAACAAACACCCCTAAACAAAAAAATAACGTAAAACAGGAGTCCTTCTATATTTATGCAGTAAATATGATGCAACTACCAGTAAAGACCAAACCCTATACAATTTAATTGTCCTTAATCATGGGTAAAAATGATTTGTATGCACTACAAACAAAAACAAAATAGAACCATCCCTGCCCCATGATTATAATTCAGCCAGTCTAACAGGCTTCGCTGGGACTCATTTTCCATCCTATGTGTCTAAAAATGAGTCTTAGAGCCTAAAGTGTTCCCTCACTTTTTGTCAGTCTGTTTTCCAAACTCCGACATTAAAAAGTATGCAATTTCCTTCAAAGACTCTGTATCTAGCATCCTACATTCTTAAGGAAACACATTCTAATGCCCAACGCAAGAAACTTTTAAGAGTAAAAAGGGTGTATTTATACTTTATAAGGGGACTAATTATGTCTGTTACATGGTCACTTTAATGTCTCTACAAACCTTTTCCTACTGGCACCTGCATACTATAAACTCTCACTTAATAATTTCTCCAGAACTTCCCCTTCTCATTTCCACCCCTTGGCCGGCAGGAAGAGACCACGGTTCCAGCAGAACTGGAAACAGACTGGTGTCCAAAGACACAAGGCTCATACGTACCCAGGTTTTCTCCTCCCCACACGTCCATCATCATGTCATACTTCCCCAGCTCTTCAAAATAGAGCTTATCCATCACGAACAGCCCTCCAGCAATCATAGGGGTCCTATAGCAGCAGAGAGGGTAGGAGAGGAGGCCGAAGGTCAAGGTTAGAGCACCAGCACTCTAGTGCCAAGGTCAAGCCTGGAAACCAGACTTAAAATCAACAGCACAGCCTGGTCCTTAGCTCAGAGCTCCAGGGGCCCCTCTTGGCTTGATCCCTGTTGGCTTCAGGGCCCTGCTCAGATGTTCCCAAGTGCGAGGGGCTGCAGGGAGCTCCCTACGTGAGAGCAGCTGCTGGGCTGGGACGCTTGCTGGTGCCCCAGGCTAGTACTCAGTTTTTCTGTGCCAGGTTCTTTGGAGGATTACAAACAATCACAGGCTTAAAGCACCCAGCGCACGCAGGAAACGCTCGCTGACACTAGCTGCCCTTATTCTCATCCTCATAGGACAGCGTCTTTCTCTGTTGGAGGAACCATCATCTTCTCGTTTCCCCTTGGCCTGCGGAGAGGTCACTAGCAGAGCCCCAGCCCTGTCTCCGTGGAGTCACCGTGAGAAGCCCAGGCCCCATGCTGCTGGAGCTCCCTGCTGACGGGGGACACATGTAGACAGCGACAGTGTCCGCAGGGGCCTCCTGAACGAGGGGTTCCCGGACAGGCATCCCCAGCACACCTGGGGACCCCACCCAGCTGGCAGTGGTACAGGTGCCTCCTCTGTCTGCACAGAGGAGGGCAGAATCCGGTGAATAAGCGGGGCTGACCGGGGGCAGCGGTGGGGCTCACCCTGGCTGCCCACCTCTCTGCCCAGACCCTGACGGCAGCCTGAGACCCCATCCTCTGTGGAAAATGCTCTACATTATCAGCACAAAGGACGTGGAACTGGCAGATTTGATATATGAAAGTACAAGAAAATAAATCTCAAAGTACTTTATTCTACAAGCTGTTGGCAGAGACTCTCCCTTGAGTGAAGATGAGGGTATGTGAGGGTGTGGCTGGAGACAAGAGCGCGCCTAGGACCTGAGGGAACACGAGGCTGGAGCCTGACGTCTCAGCTGTGACCTCGGAGAAGGGAACCTTAAGGACACCTGGCACTTACTTTATGGGAGCGACGGGGTTCCCCTGCCGGGACCGCCTCTGCTCAGGGGTCATGTAATCCCATTTGAACACCAAGTTCCAGTCAAAACCTGCGGGTCACAGAAGAGAAAAGAAACACTGTAAGGATGCTGTAAGCATGGGCTGCCTGCTGCTGGTACTTCTGTCCCTGGTAGCTTAGCAATATTTGGTATTTGGATGGATTCACTGAAAACCAAAGGGAAAACAAACAGAGAAGATGCAGAGAGAAGAGACAGAGACGGGGCAGAGTGGGGCAGGGAGACCAGTGGGGTGGACACACACTCAAATCCCTCCCCGAGAAGCTTATCCAACACAGGAACTGCGGGGCACTTTTTTCTAAAACCAGAATGTATAGTGTGAAATAAGGAAACCGGAGTCTGTGAGGCAACACCCAAGGGCTGTCAGGAGGTGAGGAAGAAGACTGATGGATTAAAAAATCTGCCAGGCACCCCCAACAAGGTCCCGGGGGGGAGAGAGCAGAGAGGGATGAGAGTACGGGTTCCTGGGCCGCAAACATGGTCCCTTCAAACTTGGTCTCCCCTGTTTGCAGCTGAGCCCCATGGGGTGGGATGTCACCAGATCCTCTCGGAATGGACCTGGCCCCGCCCTGGGGCAGCAAGGGGGTCACCTCACCATCCACACCTGCGCCACCATAAACAGCTGCTGCAGGAGGCGAGCCCGTCACAGCTCAGCTCCTGCACGCTCTTGAGGGGTAAGACACAGCGGACAGTCACACCAAGGCTGACTGTGACAGCCCAGGGCTTGAACTGGAAAGCCCCAAACACGCTCACCATTTACTAAGAAGCTCCAGAGTCTTGTCTCCAGCCTAAGTGCCTCCTCTTAGCATCACTGCCCCCAGCTGAGGCATTGGGTGGGAGCTGCCCCATCACGGCCCTGGCCTCCTCCAACCTCCCCATGTGGCTGCACTATTGTCACCCCTGTTCTCAGGCAGGGATGCTGAGGGGCAGAGGGGACATGGCCTACCCGTGACAACACGGCCTGAAAGAGGCGCCAGGGCCGAGGGCTCCCTGGTGGGGCCCAGTGTTCTGCCTTCTAAGGTTCCATCCAATGCCTCAGTTTTACTGTCTTCTTTTTTTACTGTCAGTTGACCCTCGGTTGTGTGCCTGTCTGGAAGAGTCCATCTTCCAATCAGTTCAAAATGTTAGAGATAGAAAGGAAGCCCCCTCAGCTCACATAAAGAAACTGGGGTGCTGGGCTGTTGGAAGAAGAGTTCACTCATCTGAGGTGTGAGGAATCAAGAGTGAGTAACTCGCACACATGGAAGGCAAAAGTTCTGACGTCTCTTTTGTTTCAACCTTTGCAGTAGGCTTTGCTGACTTCTTGGCTCTTAGCTGAGTTCTGAGAGGACAGGCTGCCAACCAGCTGAGTTTCAGAACTTGAAGCGTTTACCAGTGGGCTGTGCAGGAGCCTACATGCCCCAGGTCACCCCACAGACAGTCCTGGGTCACAGGAGAGCCTGCAGGCCCCAGGTCACCCCACAGATACACAGTCCTGGGTCACAGGAGAGCCTGCGGGCCCCAGGTCACCCCACAGATACACAGTCCTGGGTCACAGGAGAGCCTGCAGGCCCCAAGTCACCCCCACAGACAGTCCTGGGTCACAGGGGAGCCTGTGGGCCCCAGGTCACCCCACAGATACACAGTCCTGAGTCACAAGAGAGCCTGTATGCCCCAGGTCACCCCACAGACAGTCCTGGGGTCACAGGGGAGCCTCTGGGCTCCAGGTCACCCCACAGACAGTCCTGGGGTCACAGGGGAGCCTGCAGGCTCCAGGTCACCCCCAAAGACAGTCCTAGGTCACAGGAGAGCCTGCAGGCCCCAGGTCACCCCACAGACAGTCCTGGGTCACAGGAGAGCCTGCGGGCCCCAGGTCACCCCACAGATACACAGTCCTGGGTCACAGGAGAGCCTGCAGGCCCCAAGTCACCCCCACAGACAGTCCTGGGTCACAGGGGAGCCTGTGGGCCCCAGGTCACCCCACAGATACACAGTCCTGAGTCACAAGAGAGCCTGCATGCCCCAGGTCACCCCACAGACAGTCCTGGGGTCACAGGGGAGCCTCTGGGCTCCAGGTCACCCCACAGACAGTCCTGGGGTCACAGGGGAGCCTGCAGGCTCCAGGTCACCCCCAAAGACAGTCCTAGGTCACAGGAGAGCCTGCAGGCCCCAGGTCACCCCACAGACAGTCCTGGGTCACAGGAGAGCCTGCGGGCCCCAGGTCCCCCCACAGACACACAGTCCTGGGGTCACAGGGGAGCCTGCGGGCCCCAGGTCCCCCCACACACAGTCTTGGGTCATAGAGACAAGACGGTTGGCTCCTCAGGGCCAGCTAGCATGAGTCCTGTGCACCCATCAGCTCTGTGAAGCTCCTCCTGAAAACAGCAGCTCTCCAGGCGGAGTCCTGGAGCCCCTGGGATTCTTAAGTCCTTTCTGGAGGTCTGTGATAGCGAAACTCCTTTCATAGTTATATGAAGGCTTGACAGGCCCCTTTCGATTTCATTTTTCCTAAGTGCAGGAAGGAGTTTTCTGGAAGCTTCAGGACAGGAGGCGTCAGTGCACACGGGCAGCACAGGTGTGCCTGCCTCACTCCCTGTCCTCACCATCAGCCTTACTTTCTAACACAGCAAATGCTCATCAGCACAGCCCACATGAACGAAGCTCTTTGAGGCCTTCCATAATTTTCAAGATGGTAAGGACTGCCAATGCAGGAGCCACAGGAGACATGGGTTTGAGCCTTGGGTTGGGAATATCCTTTGGAGGAGGAAATGGCAACCCACTCCAGTACTCTTGTGAGGGTAATCCCACTGACAGAGGTGCCTAGAAGGCTGCAGTCCATGGGGTCTTGAAGAGTCAGACATGACTGAGCACAATAAAGACAAGATTAGGCACATCACTGCGGCGCTTTGTGGAGGGTGGGTTTTACGGGTCACACTCAAGACATAGGGACCCTTGGGAAACTAGTGGCGTCATTCAGACAAAAGGGTCCCCAGCAGGAGGCGGGACGTGGGTGGCTATTGGGGACAAGGGGCTGACAGTCAGGACACAGGAGGGGTGGGCTGTGCAGGCCTTGGGGCCCAGAAATCAGGGGAGAGACAGGCAGATGGGTTTCCAGCAGGAGATGGAGGCTATGGGGGGTTGGTGGGGTATAGAGGACAGACCCCATCAGCCTGACGTCTCTCCACCGGCTCCCATAGGGATGGCTCTGTACACCAAGCCACACGTCCCTGTGGCAATGTAAGTCCAGCAGATAAGGATGGGAACCGTGGCTGCAGTTTCAGGGAGGCCAGGCGCTTCTGTCCCCTTATGAGCCCTGCGGCTTGAGCACAGGGGCGTTCTTGGTGGGGACCCTGCAGGGCCGCATGCAGGCACTATTGCTGCCCCTCTGACCCGAGCTGGGCCCCAAGCAGCACCTACCGCCTTTTAAGTCCGCAGACGCACCCACGTACTGAAAGTTGTCCATGTTGATGACATCAATGATGGGGGACACAACGCGGGTCCTGTCCTGAAATGCAGGGGAGGCAAGAGCAGGTGTCAGGACCAACCAGGACCTGCATGGGGGAGGCCTGCGTGTCAGTGCCCAGAGGGAGACCCTCGCCCCCAACGTCTGCCGCCCCACGCCCTGGGGTTTGCCCCCTGGCTTGGCACCCACAGCCCTGCACTGTGCTGGGGGTCAGGGGCACAGACCACGCGGCCCCAGAGGAGGTGCCAGGGGGCGTGGGGCGGCCCTGCACATGTTCACTGGTGGAGAACAACTACCTCCGGGGACTGTTCCTGGTTTTGGTTTTTTTTTTCCCTAACAGCCAAGAACAAATGTCAATTTTTATTAACCCTAAAGAAGAAATTAAGAGTGGCTGATAGCATCTCAGCAAGCATTAGCATGAGACTATGTAGTGAGGATTACAACACATCATTTGAGTTATTTCATTTGAGTTATTTCATGTTTCATGATTTGCTGCTCATCCGCATTCCTGGCTATGGTACAAAAAGAATGACTTGTCCCTTTAATATTTCTCTAGCACTTTCATTACATTTGCTTTATAGTCCCAAATAAGCTCTTTCTTAGTAGGAAGAAAAGAAAGTCAATAAAACAAGCAGATGGCAACAGAGATATCACAAGAGGCCGAACATAACACTAGAGATAGCTTTTCTAGGAGGCAGAGGTGCAGTCCCCGCTCACCGGATGGCCTATGAGTCTCTGTCCACCAGGCGCAGCCCTGGTCTCCGGGCGGCAAGTCCAGGCAGGGGGCCCTGCGGGCTCTGTCCTGAACGCCCTACCTGCTCTGAGCTCAGAATCGGAGCAAATCTTCGGGCAGGAAAGGAAGAGCCTCGGAGGGAGGGCTGTCTGAGACGACCCAGGCTCTCGGCAGCCTCGGCTCACCCTCCCCTGTACCTGCAGGTTCTCCCCCATTGACAGATCCCCACAGTGGACAAAAGCGCCCGAGGCCCGTCCCCGCCCGCACGCTCACCTCGGCCACCCTCTCCAGGAGGGGCTCCAGCCAGCGCTCGTTGCACTCGCAGTGGCTGTCCAGGAAGGTCAGGACCTTGGCCTGTGCCGCGTCGGCGCCCCGCACCCGCGACCGCATCAGGCCTGTGCAGCGGCAGCAAGAGCGCGTCAGCGAGAAACCCAGGCGCCCGGCACCCGCGCCTGCGCACGCGGCCCTCTCTCTGGCGCAGACTCCATCACCGACGATTGCGGAGGGGTCAATACTGCCCTGAGGTTTCCCCGGTGAGGACTTTATTTTTTTAAGCTCACTGGATGACTGAGAAAACTTGGAGAAGCTGCCTTCGCAGGAAGGCTTCTGCATAGTTGAAGTCTTCACCAAGCAACTGAAATGTGTAACTTCTGAAACTACTTTCATGGCAACACAGTTTTCTAATTAACCAGGGTAAGGAATGTGTCACCCAGAGACTTCAAGTGCTAATGGGGCCAATTTTAATGGCAATAATTTAATAATAGTGTCTTTGTCTTCAAAGACTTATCACAGGCCAAATTAACATAAATGATAAAGCCCAGTTGTTTGACTTTGACACAAAATTAGTTACACTATTTGGTCACATTAAAAAATTTATATACTTGTGATCTGTTAATAATATACACCTTTTATTATCACGCAAAGTCTTCTCATAAATAGTATATTTATCACTAGATGCTGTGGTCATAATTAGCTTATGCTGGGCTTTATACATGGAGATGATGAGAATATTCACAACCAGAGAGGACAGTACAGTGTTCTATGTTCTTCATAGAGTACAGTAGTCAAAAAGGGCTTTCAATGATTCTTAAAGAGGTGCACGCTAGAGCAGGAAGAACGGGCAAACAATTTCTCGGTCTTGTATTACGAAGTGGCTTGTAATAGGCAAACCATGTTCCAGGGAACAAGTATAAATTCTGAGCAAAAGGAAAATCCAATTTGGGAAAGGGGTAGAGTAGCCAAGGGCAGGCAGAAACCAGAGAGCACTCAACCCCTAAATGAAGAAAATCAGGGATTTCCCTGGTGGTGCAATGGTTAAGAATCCGCCTTCCAGTGCAGGGGTTCTGGGTTTGATCCCTGACAGGGAAGTAAGATCCCACATGGTGGGGACAACCAAGTCCATGGGACCCAGCAAGACAAGTGCACGTGCTGAGCCTAGAGGGGAGCCCCTGTGAGCCCTAACTAGAGAAAGCCCAAGGACCACAGTGAAGACCAGGCAGCCAAACAATAGTCATAATAAAATCACAGAATGAAAGCTCTCTATACATGGGATTTCCCCCCAGTGTTACTCTCTGATCCACTGCAGTGCAGCTGTTTGGGGCTGAAGTATCAGAGGGTAGAGTCTGGGGTATCTAGAGTGGCTGAAATAGAAGGAGGAGATCCTGGGAGGGATCTGGTGTATCCCAAATCTGGTGATAACTGCCCTGAAACCCCTGGCTGACTCCTGACCTGCAGGCACAGAGGAGACCCTGAAGAGCTGATGAAGATAAACAATCAGAAGACAGAAAGAACGAAGATTTCTGCTGGAATCAAGCTTTGGCACTCAAGTTCTGCCAAGTTAGAAGGGTTTGGTAAACATCTCATTTCTACAGAAACTCCAGCAGAGACATTAGGAATATAGACTATGTCTCAGGTATAAGGGTTTCACCTAAGATATACTCATCCTAGTGAAATATAAAGACAAACCTACACAAATTCAAGGTCATAAGCTAGTCATTTAATTAACCATATATAACAAAGATCAACACTCTAGAGAAAGATAACAGAATCCAGTGTCTCTACAACATACCATTCACCATTTCCAACATAAAATAAAAAAATTTGCAGACATGAGAAGAGAAAAATATATTCCATATCCAAGAGAAAAAAAGTCAATAGAAGCTCCTCCTGAGATGATTCAGATGTTGAAATTAACAGATGAGGATTTTAAAGATGCTATCATAATAACTATATCCAAGAACTCCAAGGAAATGATGATTGGAATGAACTAACATGGGGAATCTCAGCAGAGAAATGAAAACTACAAGAATTAAATGGATATTCCAGAACTGAAAACTGCAATTATCTGAAATAAAAAATTGACTGACTGGGCTGAATAGTAGATTAAAGATATCAGTGAATTTGAAAATGGATCAATAAAAACTGATCTATCTGGTGAATATAGAGAAAAATACTGAAAGAAAAAAAAAGCTGAAGCAACCTATGGACAATATCAAGTGGTATAACATATGTGCATTTAGAGGCCAAGAATGAGGCATAAAACAACATGTGAAGAAATAGAAGGCCAAAGATTTCCCAAATTCAGTGAAAACTTCAACTTAGAAATTCAAAGGGATCAGCAAATCTGGAGCAGGATAAATGAAAGGCAAATCAAATACAACCAGGTCATAGTCAAACTGCTAAAAACCAAAGATAAAGAGACAGCCTGGAAATCAGCAAGCAGAAACAGCCTACAGCAGATGAGGGATCAGCGACACAGACGCCTACATGTGGACAGAGGGACAGAGGCCAGAGGCACTGGGGCGGCATGTTCACAGTGCTGGAAGAAAACTAGCAGTCAGCTCAGAATTCTACACAGAGAACACACTCTTCACTAATAAAGGAAAAAGAAAGACTTTTCAGACAAATAGAAATTGAGAGATTTTATTGCCTACAAGAAAAATGAAGCTTTAAAGGTTCTCTGAGCTGAAGGGAAATGACATTAGACAGAAAGCTGAATCTAAGGAAAGAAATGAACATACTAGAAACAAAAAATACAAGGATAAATTTTACAGTCTATTTACATATTCTAATTTCTTTATAATATAACATTATTTAAAGCAAACATTTTAACACTGTATTTTGGGGTTTAAACCATATCATAATAACAAATGAAGGAAAATATATGACAACAACAATATACAGGGCAAGGGATAAAATGGAATTAATTGCTGCAAGTTTTTACATAAAGTTGTAATTGACTCTAAATAGACTGTTCCAAGTTAAAAATGTATGTTGTAAGAGTCAGAGCAACCACTATAAGAAGTGTATAGCTAAAAAGCTACAAAAAATGTGAATATGGAACACTAAAATAAACAAAAATTACTTCAAACTACATTACCAAGCTATAGTAATCAAAACAGTATGGCTTTGGCATAAAAATAGGTATATAGGTCAATGAGACAGAATGGAGAGCCCAGAAATAAACATACACACACACATGGCTATTAATTTACAACAAAGGAACTAAGAATACATATGGGGAAAGGATAATCTCTTTAATAAATGGTGTTGGGAAACTGGACAGCCACATGCAAAAGAACGAACCTGGACCCTTACATCATACACAAAAATCAACTCAAAATGGATTAAAGATCTGAAAATTAAGACTTGAACCCACAAAACTTCTTGAAGAAAATATAGATAAGCTTCTTAACATTAGTGGTGGCAATAATCTTTTTTTTAAATTTGACACCAAAAAAATAAAAAAATAAAAAAATAAATAAATAAATTTGATACCAAAGCAAAGGCAGCAAAAGCAAAAATAAACAATGGAATTACATCAAACTAAAAAGCTTCCACAGAGTGTGCACACACACACACACACACACACACACACACACACACACACTATTCATAAAATGAGAAGGCAATCTATAGAACGACAAAATGTATTTGGAAATCACATAACTGACAAGAGATTAGTTCAAAATATACTAGTCCAAAATATATAAAGAACTCATACAACTCAATACCAAAAACAAAAACAAAATAATCTGAGATTAAAAATGGGCAGAGGAATTGAAAAGACATTTTTCCAATGAAGACATATAAATGGACATCAGGTACATGAAAAGGTGCTCAACATAAAGGGGATTATAATCATAACTACATAATTATAATCACATTTTTATCACATAATTATATAATCATATAACTCATATCATATAATTATATGATATATATTTTATGATATTCATATTATATAATCATAATTTTATCATATAATTATGTGATTATATAATCATAATTATACTCATAACCATCAGGGGATTCAAACCAAAACACCTCACACTTCACAGAATGTCTGTCATCAAAAAGACAAGAGATATCAAGTGTTGGTAAGGATGTGGAGAAAAGGGAACCCTTGTGCACTGTTTGTCGGAATGTAAATATGTGTATTCACTGGGGAAAATAGTATGGACAGTCTTCAAAAATTAAAAGTAGAACTACCGTATGATCTAGCAATTCCAAGGAAACAAAAATCACTATATGCATCCCCATGTTTACTGCAGCATTATTTACAATAGCCAAGACACTGAAGCAAACGAAATGTCCACTGATAGATGAATGGATGAAGAAAATGTCACTCACACACACACTCACACACTGCCATTTGCAGCAACAATATGGATGGATCTTAGGGCATAATGCTACATGAAATAAGTCAAATGGAGAAAAAGACAAATACTCTGTGAGCTCCCTAATATGGGAATCTAAAAAAATTAACTCAAAGATAAAGAGAACAGACTGATGACTGCTAGAGGGAGGGGGTTGGGTGAATGTGGTCACAAAGTACAAATTTCCAGTTAATGAGATAAAAGTTCTGGGCATGTCATGTACAGCGTGGTGACCATAGTTAATAATATGTATTGTATATTTGAAAGTTGCTAAGAGAGTAGATCCTGAAAGTTCTCATCACAAGAAAAAGAACTTGTAGCTGTGTGAGGTGATGGGTGTTAACTAAGCTTACTGTGGTGATCACTTCACAATATGTACATATATCAAATCACTATATTGTATACCTCAAATGAATACAATATTTTATGTCAATTACATATCAGTGACCTGGAAAAAACCAATTAATCAGGCAGGACAGTAGGAACAAAGGAACAAAAAGCACACAGGACCGGTTGAGAACTTGGCTTATGAACATGGGTTTGGCCCCACCACTGTCATTAAATAGCTAGATGATCTTGAAAAAGGCACTTAACTTCTTTCAACTTGAATGTTTCCATCTGTACAACAACAACTAGGTTTTCAAACTTTCAAAGTACATCAGTGTTATCAAAACGCAGATGTCTAGGCCCCACCCCTAGACATCTAAAAATTCTAATTCAATTGTGGGTAGCATCAAGGAATGGTCTTCATAAAGGTTCCCTAGGTGATTATAATCAGTAGCCAGGTAAGGAACGCTGGCACAATTAACTCCCAGCACTAAATGACCCCAAGGCTGCTCCTTCACTATAACATCTCAAACAATTGGCTTGCTCTGTCATCTAGCAGCATTGCTATGAGCACTTCTGTATGTGTTTAACTATGGGATACACACACACACACAGAGGCACACACACATTTGTGTGTGTATTTTTTGACTCAACTATCTCATTCCTCATGTGTTCCACATAGGTCTACCACAATCTGGCTTCCCACAGCTGCTCCTCTTCATTCCTTCCCAAAACAATGTGGGTTCTCCTCCACAGGAACAGCCTAACTTAAAGCAAATGGCAAGTTTCTTTTAGAAACACTGCTTTTGATTTATAAGCAGGCTAAAAGCACTCTCTGATAAGGCTAGCATGCAGTTTGCCAGTTACAATGGCCAAAATGAAAGATAATTTCTTTTCTTTTTCTCCCTCCTCATCTTCTTTTTTACCCTGTGCTAGAGGACACTTTGGTTTTGAATTCAACAAGTTATTATGTAACTTCTTTGGGGACAAGTACAGTACAAGATTTTGGTTTAATCTAAGCTCAGGGGACAAATGTAAGTCCAGCAAACAGTTTGCTTAGGGGCAAGACTGACCCCATTGTTTATGCATCTTGAACATCTGGATTGGTGATCTTCGTTGGTTAAAATATGATGTTGATGACATCGCTCTAACAGGCTCCCCCACTTTATTGGCTGATTAGATTCTTGCTAAGAAAAGCTGACTCCAGCTGGAGCACACAGGGGACCAGATGAAAGACAATGTTCACTGATCAAAGGGCACAGCCACCACTCCAGGGTCAACAGTCATCCTCCAATAGCAAAAACAGCACACATTTCAAAGCTTTGCCGTTTTCCCTATAGAAAGATTCTCAGGACCCTGGAAGAGCCAAGAATCGAGCCATCAGCTCTCTACCAGCATGGATGCACTGGATGTTAATTACACTGATTTCAGTTTCATTTCCAGACACTTCAAAGTAATGCTTTCCCCTCTGGAGTCTCTCTTATAACTGCCAATAACGTGGACTCGATGAGCCCAGCTCCAGCAAAGACAAGACTGACAGCAGGTTTCAAGGCTGGCATTTGCAAATCCAATAAGCATGTAATTACAGTGCTCTTTCCCCTTCTTGGATGGTTCACCTTGGGCAGGCTGTCAAACTTGAATCCCAGTTATTTTATCAGATGCCTGAAGCATGGAGTCATTAAAGTTCTCATTACTAAATCTCTGTTTTTCTTCTTAATTCTAGTACTCAAGGGACTTGATAAGATTTCCTAGGTTGTGAAAGAGAGAAGCCAGTTTTCTAAATACATAAATAACAATGTAATTTGAACTCTAGCCCTAGTGCGCAATTTCAATTAGGTAAGCTTTTAATGTCCTTCCTATGTTTTCTGGGAGAGGCTGCCAAGAGGCTGTGCTGGAGGGAGGCAGACAGAAGACGAGACAGTTAATTGTTCCTGTAGCTGAAACATTTCTTCACGTTATTACTGGGTTCAGGAAAAATCAGAATTCAACTGTTTTGGTATTGAATTAAGAGAAGTCTTACCTTCTCGCCGATCATTTCGTAGTACACGTACTTTTTCAATTTTCCCCAAGAGAGCCCCATCTTCAGCTGGGAAAAGAAAAGCAGCAAAGCTTTTGAACCTCAAGTTTACGAAGGGCTTGGGGGGCAGGGATGGTGATTCTCCATCACCTAGGGGCTGATGAGCCCCTTGGGGCATCACAGAGGCCCTCTTTTTGCCACTCCCACTTCTTGAGGCCTTTTCTTGAAACTTGTCCTTAGCACCCACAGCCCAGAAAGGCTGGTGCCCAGGAGAAGGGCCAGAAGGAAGGGTGGGGGTGGGGATTAGTCTCTACTTACGGTCATTGCTGTAGTCATCCACCAAGATGATTTCTTTTATCAGGTGGGGCGGGCTTTTCTTAAGGACACTGAGGAAAGGCAGAAAGATACAGTTGCAGGCCTCTCAGGGGTGTGGCGGGGGTGGGAAACTCTCATCCCCTGGCTCCAGTCCTGGATGGAGGAGCCATCAGCCCCTCTTGTGCTGCAGTCAGGGGACCTGTCTGCTCCCCCAGACGGCCCTTGCCTGGCTGCGCTGGGCACTGGCCCTTACTCTGCATCCCTGCTGGGGATGCCCCTCTAAGCTGCAGTGGATGGGAATGGGTGGCAGCTGTGGGCCTCACCTGACCACTGTCCTCAGCAAAGCTGACCTGGCTTCATTGTGAAATGTGATGACCACGCTGGTGGCTGGCAGATCTACCCGCCACTGCTTTCGCTGACACCTGCAGAAAAGAAAGAGTGACCTGAACCATGAGCTGGGACCAAGCCCAGCGAGCCCCCTGACAGCGTGGGCAGCTGGCCCTGCAGGACAGCACTCGAGGTGAACCTGCCGTTTGTAGGAGGCACTGGCCTATTCTGAGATGCAGTGACAATGGTACATTAGGAAACAGAAAAACACAACCAGAGCAACAATTTAAAACATGAAAGATTTCAGCAAAAAGTAACATACTGAGAACATCTTTCTAATGTGTTAAAAAAAATGTGTTTCAAAACAGTGAATTCCCATTTAGTCGCACATGCTGATACACCTCTATAGATGTGCTTTTCACAATTCACAGTGGTTACTTCTGGGGGTGGAATCAGCTGTGTGATGCTGCTCCTTTCTTCTCTCCTACTTTGCCTGCAGCAAGCATGTGGATCGCTGGGATCCTTAGCCGAGCTGTATTTGGTATCTGGCTCTACCCTGGTCCTGGATCGCAGGACACACACCCCTCACCCTGCCAGACCGTGTCATCCTAGGGGCCAGTGCTGTAGGCTGCTGTGGGCGAGGGAAGGATGGTTGGGCCTTTGAGCCCATCAGCTCCCCTTCCACTTCACACAGCACTGAAAGAACCTGGGACCAGGCTGAATGAAGTTCCTGCAAATTGTGGGCAGATTACAACAGGCACTTCTCAAGTCTGTTCCCTGCAGACAGACACAAGGCCGTGAGGGCTCAGAACAGCTGTTTCAGAACACAGGACTCTAGAGCCCTGGGCTGGAGATGCTGAGCCATCACCCAATAGGCAACAGAAAGGACCAGCAAAAGGAGGTCTGGCTCAGCAGGTACAACATAAGGGACACTGTAAGTCCCTCGAAAGCTCCATGGCCTTGAAGAACATGCCGGCAGAGAGGCGATGCTCCAGAGAATCCTGAGAGACCAAGACGCCTGGGCAGGCTTATAGCTCTTGAGGACTGCTGCGAACAAACTGTGGCATGAGGGCATTCAGGGAGTTATCAGGCTGGTGGTACCACTGATGCTAGCTGGGAAAAGGGGTGAGGACAGACAGCTAAAGCCTCTTTGGCCTCTGGAAGCAGCTCTTGGCCCGAGGTGGAGACAGCGCTGATCTTGCCTGCAGTAGGGTGGGGACCATCAGTCAGCCACCAGGGATGCGGTCCCTCCACACTGTGCTCACCATCTGGGATCCCTGCCCTGGTATCAAAGAAGGTATTTCAAGAGTTTGTTTTACTCTCGGGACTTTCCTGGTGGTGCAGTGGCTAAGTGCTCTCAACGCAGGGAGTCTGGATTCAACCGCAGGTCAGGGCACTAGATCCCACAGGCTGCAACTAAGAGTTCTCATGCACAACAAAGACCCCAGCGCAGCCAAACAAATGTTTTTTGAAGAACTTATTTTACTCCTTAGCTTTTAATGTAACTGACCACAGCTGCAAGTGATCTGCTCCCAGAATTAAAACTATTCATCTTAATAATGAGAAATGAGTAGGAAAAGGAGAAAGATTAATATGTTTGGAGTTCAGCAGTGCCTTAAAGGAAAGTGGTTGATACAGATTTTCCCTCAGGACTGGGAAAACTATTTCAGAGAGCAAATTTTGAAAATGAGCAAGAAAAGCAGTACAATTAAAAAGCAATTAGGTCAGATCACAAAATGGGCTTCTTCTGTTTATTTTAGTTATATGGATAGCTGGATTTTAATTAACTATAAGAAAATGACATAATATACCAGTTGCTGTTGGGGAAAAGAATGCATTCTGGAATTAATGTCAAGTCTTTAATGACAAGTAAATTGATTGGCTAGGGTGTTTTATTTTTTTTACGTTTTAAGAATTTGTCGATTGTTAGATTAAGGAAGTAAGAATCTGCACGGTTCAAGTGTACACAAATGACCAACAAATGTCATTCCCAAGCACCCAATCTGCAACCGTAATGAAATAAGAATCCCAGGATGGAGCCAATACTCTCTGCAATCAGACCCCATGCGCACAGCTGAGGGGGCGCTGTGCGGAGCTAAGCAGATTTGCTGAGCTCTTGTCTGGTGCAGCCACGTGAAAAATCAAGATGAGAGAAGGGAGCATTCTTCAGGCTCAAATCATAGGAAACTCAGCAGAGGCAGCCATGTCCTATTCCCTCGTTTTCTGTCTCTCTGCAGGAAGCCTCGTCTTCCACAAGCATTTGGAATTCTCAAGGGGCTTTGGACACAGTTTTCAGAATGCAGCATTCACATTTTATTAAAATTCCTCTCCAGTCATAAGGCACCAAGTTTTGCTAGGAACTGGCAATTAGGCAATTTAAGAGATATATCCTATTTCTAAGATAAAGAGGGATGACAAGTAAAACCTGAGAAATAACTCATACCTTGTGAATTTAAGAGTGCTATATGTATGTATATGAATTCAAATCCTAAGTCTTCACACCAAGCCAAGAAAAAGGAGGGGTTGTTTGAAGAATTTCTTTAAAAAGAAACAGAATAAATCTTCACGTAAAGAGCTCTGTTGCTGCCAAGCAGTCTTCTCTGCTTCAGAGCTGGTGAAGGAACGCCTGCCTGATATAGAAACCCAGTAGGGGGCTAGCTGTCGGGGGCACCTTCATCCTGGAGCTTCTCTGAGAGCCGAGTAGAAGCCGGGGCTTATTTGGCATCAGCAGCACGGAGAGTCTGCAGTCAATTCTGTTCTCCCTCCCAGACGACGCAGCTGAGGCAGTGTGATGTGGAGGGGACCTTTGGGACAAATTCACTTGAGTTTCCATGGGTCATTCTGATAATCTCCTGTCCAGTAAAATGGGGACTTTAAAAAACTGGACACACAATGATTTTTAAAACTATCTTGTTGAGCTTTAAATCTCTTGTGAGACCAGACCACCATCGTATCTGATCAGTCAGCTGATGTCTAGTGCGCTGAGCACCTGGGCCCTCAGGGTGCAGAAGGGACCTGTCTCTGGGGAGGCTTGTCTCTGATGCAAATGTTATACGTAGGTTTGGTCGAGACATTGATGAAATATTCAAACACCACATGTCCTCAGACTGGGAAGCTAGGGGCTCCGTTTAATAACATGGAAGGCTGCCCCATGGTGTGGAGAGGGGTACAGAAATATGCTGTCTACTCCATGCCCTCAACCTGCCTCCCAGCCCCACTGATGGTCTGGCCTGTGGTAACCTTGGTAACTGAGTGATCTGAGGCACTGCACCCTTCTTCATCTGTGAAACCAGCCCTTACAACGTTGCATGGTTAATGGGACAATCAAGTAACAAAGAAGGACTCTAGATACTGGAAAGGTTGCTGTCATCCTAATAAGGCTTATCATATGCACTTGGCTGCTATGTACCAACAGGCATCTTCCCAGGCATCTTCTTGTTACCAAGCACGTGGGGCTCAACCCCTCTCTGACACCAGCAGGGTCCCCGGGGAGGGCTGTGAAGACCCCACTACCATAAGTATTCAACACCAGCCCGTGCTCTAATCATGCCCTAGGGTCCCACGTAGGGGTAAACTTCTGGCAAATGGGGACCCTGGCTGTCAGTCTCCATGGCAGGGGATTCCTGCTACGTGTCCACAGTGGGCCTTCTGGCTGGGTCTCAGCTTCCCATGAAACACCTGGAGGGGAAATACCAGGATCATTCACAGTATTTCAAGGTTCTGGTTGCTGTCATGCGTATTTCTCTTTAGAAATTATCGGCCTAAATAAATTTTAGATATAAATTTTGGATTTATTCTGTCTGTGATTTTAACTTGAGTCTGCCCCTGAGAGACAAACCTAGCTTTGATTTGTTGACAACAAAACAAAGCAAAGCATGGGTAGAAAAATAAAAAAGCAAAAACAAGTTCAGTTCAGTCGCTCAGTCGTGTCCAACTCTGTGACCCCATGGACTGCAGCACGCCAGGCCTCCCTGTCCATCACCAACTCCCGGAACTTATTCAAACTCATGTCCATCGAGTTGGTGATGCCATCCAACCATCTCATCCTCTGGTGTCCCCTTCTCCTCCTACCTTCAGTCTTTCCCAGCATCAGGGTCTTTTCCAATGAGTCAGTTCTTCACATAAGGGGGGCAAAGTATTGGAGTTTCAGCTTCAGCATCAGTCCTTCCAATGAATGTTCAGGACTGATTTCCTCTAGGATTGACTGGTTGGATCTCCTTGCAGTGCAAGGGACTCTCAAGAGTCTTCTCCAACACCACAGTTCAGAAGCATCAATTCTTCGGCACTCACCTTTCTTCATATTCCAATTCTCACATCCATACATGACTACTGGAAAAACCATTTCCATGTCCAGTTCTAATGTTGCTTCTTGACCTGCATACAGATTTCTCAGGAGGCAGGTCAGGTGGTCTGGTATTCCCATCTCTTTAAGAATTTTCTTTAAGAATGTTCCACAGTTTGTTGTGAAAAACAAATTAGCAAAGCTAAGGATCAAGTCTTGGACCATGATCAACTCAGGCATGGTAATGAGTATCCTGTGGCCTATTGGGGAGAGGCAGCAGGCCTGCTTTTTCCCAGGTCGTCACCACCACCATCATCATGGTTATGTGTGCAAGATATCGCAAACATAAAATCTAGAAGATGTTATACAAGCACCTAAGCACCATCCACTCCACTTTTTCAAATCTTAATACTTTGCAACAGTGGTACCTGATTAAGATTTTTTAAATGAAATAAAACTCGACATACAATAGTTAAAGTCCTGGTACGTCTTTCCTACCTCAAATCCCATCTTCACCAATGGTAACACTACCCGAAGTTTGGTTCATCAGTATTCCTCAGAACATCTTCAATAAATCACATGTGTGTGTGTTAGTTGCTCAGTTGTGTCCGACTCTTTGTGACTCCATGGACTGTAACCTACCAGACTCCTCTGTGCATGGGATTCTCCAGGCAAGAATAATGGAGAGGGTTGCCATTTCCTTCTCCCGGGGATCTTTCCGACCCAGGGATCAAACCCAGGTCTCCCACATTGCAGGCAGATTCTCTACAGTCTGAGCCACTTCGTAGACAGAATGGAGTACTGTTTTGTGTA